TTAAGTTCGCTTTTTTACCCAGTATCCTCGCCCTTGGACCTATGCACAAATTGTAGAGAGTTAACTGCCATCAAGGCATCATGCTGCTGGATGTGATTTTAGCTGATCCAATCTATGCTTATATTTATACTGTTGGGCACAAGAAACGATGGCGCAAATCACTGTAATTAGTGCATACGTGTAAAGTTAGTGCGTAAAAGACCAAGTTAACACATTTTTTCCCATTTAAAGGGATATTCCCTCGAACTTTCAAGCGGCAAACATAAAATCAGGCAAAAATGAATTATTTTAACATTGCATGCTTCAACTTGCACGCTTCTACATACGTTTTAAGATGAATACTATAACACGAATATGATAAGATCTAAACTATAACACGAATACGGTAAAACTGATTTATACTTACATACCGGGAGAGAGAGCGAGAGACAGAGAGAGAGACTCCGAGAGACCCGGTTGGTTCTCTCCTCCCTCTCTCTCTCTCCTCTGACTTCTCTGTTAGAAAACGTCTCTATTTAAGCAAGTCTGGATGTGTCACGTGATCTTAGTAGTGCTACGCTTCCAGGTTAATGTGTCTATGAAAATGTCATTTTGTTGGGTTTTTAGCACGGTCTATCTCGAAAACGGTTACGGTAAAAATTCTGAAATTAATAACATAAACAGTCGAGGTGCCTTGAGCTGTCTAGACTACAAAGTTTGATTTCATAAAATTATTTATATTAAAAGTTATGATATCTGAAAGTGGCTACATTGACTCGATTGAAATGATGGCTGCTCAAATATAAACAATATGGCGCCTACGGAACCACGGCGAAAAGCGTTTTTCGAGTTGCAGCCCTCGACACTAACGGTTGTCCGATTGCCCGGGACAAGTGAAAGTCTATGTCGGACAAGTTATTCTCTTGCCTAGTTGCCTGAACGGACAACTGAAAAGTTCTAGTTGTTTAATATTCTTAACATCCTCTGAGCCAGGGCGGTATCGCACCACGTTCCCACTTCAAACGTTTTCAAAGGTCCCTGAAAAAAGCAGCCTGCGACACCCACTGTTACCATTACAGATTTATTCAGAGCGGCAATGCGTACCTCTATGGCCGGGGCAGCATTGATTTATGTACTGGGGTACGATTGTTTATAAGTCGGTTGGGGCATATTCATTACTGAATATGTAGGGGGTGGGCATCGCTGGGATGAGAGAACGACAGCAAAACTCTTTCCTGTGATTGAGGAAAAAGCTGCAATCGGTAATGACACACAATGAGCGTGCCAGCATGCAAACATAAACGTGTGAATTTCATTGCGATTTTACATGTACTGTATTTACTTGTGTATAAGTATAATCAAAAGTAGATAATAACAACATAAGATTGTTATTATCTACTCTTGGTATAATTCATGTATATTATAATCTCACCCCATATTTTGCATTGAAAAGTTGGTACAAACATTGGTACATTAACAAGATTTTTAGCCTCGTCTATAAGTCGCACCACCTGATTTTTTTATTGAAATTGTGTACAAAAGAGCGCGTTATACACAAGGAAATACGGTATATATACTGTAAGCGTAATACACACGCACGCACGCATGCAAACGCGCGTGCAGACACATGCCTAGGATGTGCGAGTCTATATGCACGCAGGGAATACTGGCAAAATATCAGGAGTGTATAATATATATATATATATATCTACATCTATCTATATATGTTATATATGTATATATATCTATTTATATATCTATATATATAATATAGATCTCTATATTATACACTCCTGATAATATGATATGCACTGAACCAAAAGAGGACATTAACGGCTCATAGATTGCACAAGTAAAATTCGGACAAGTAAAAATTGCTTCTTGTTGCGCCCGACAGGACAAACAGATCTGAAAATAAGCGTCGAGGCCTGATTGTTTCTTCGATGAGCAAATATGATTGATACATATTTTTACAGTTTTATTTTCAAAGCTAACTTCAGTTAAAGTGTAGTGAGTTATTTACTGACTACGTTTTTACAGTAATTAGTGACATATGTCAAGTCAGGGAGTCCGACAGTAAAATGGGAGTATTTGACTCCGGACCCAGTTAATTTCGCACCCTGATACAATTACACTACACGATCAAGATCAAATGCATGGTATTGTAACCATTGTTTAGATATGCTATCTAACCATGCAACCCTATGCCATAGGGCAAAACTTCTTGTGCTTAGTTAGGTAAACTATAATTTCCTACTGTTTGAACTTTTTAAAATAAGTCACACTGTATAGATTACCTTATATTAGAGGGCAGCGGTTATATATTATAATAAAATGGTTTGTCGTTGTACTTCTCCCATAAATTCAACCCCTCTTAGTGAGATATAAGAAATGTTGTTAAAAAGTGAGCATTAAAATTAAAATTAAATTTTGACCCCCTGGTAGTGGAGTTAACATCAGCAGCAGCTGCAGCAACATTCACCACAGTATTTGCTTACAGTTCCTGGAAAACATACATAACAGTTTTATGTCAGGCATGATAGTAATTACGTGTACTATGTCTCAATGATTTTGCAGCATTTCCAGTACCACGAGCCACAATGCAGTTAGTTTCAATCTTATTGCATACCCACGTTATTGGCAGCGTATTTCTGTGAAATGCGTATATGCGTATATGGGAAAAAATTTCCTGCTGCGTAGCTAGAGATGTCCAATAGTAATGTGTTTATGATAGTCAATTAGTCGTACAGCAAACACTAATGTAGTCCTGCACATCTGTGATATGTGCTGGTGCAAATGACTCATCGAATATGGACCTCTATGTTTTGGTTTCAATTGACTGAAACCAACAGGGCTAGCAGGTCAACTGCTATTCCTGTAATTTCAGGACGTGTGAGGAAAAGCTACTCGGTGTGACTCATACTACATATTCAACACCAAATTATGCCTTGCTTCTGAAAACCTGTCTTCACTGGGATTCGTACTTTCTCAATTACTTTAAACTAACTTTCCTGCTTGCACGTGGTGCTCTGGTGATATACTGGTATGTGCGCGACAAGTGTATTACAGGTTCGAAGTGGGAGGTGCAAACATCCTGTAAACCATTATGAGAATGTATTTTTTCTTCGAACACATACTATATAGATCCTAGTTTGCGGTGGAGTTTTACAATTCAGCTGTACTGTGGTGGTGTTGTTCTAGCTAAAAGCAAATTAGGAGCAGGAGAGCAAAGTTAAATCAAGAAAACAAATAAGGCTGAATTCTTTTTGCATGTATCATCGGCGGTAGGGGTTGGAGTGATAGAAGCCAGCGCTGCAGTGATTGTCTGTAAACATCACAGCTATGGGAGGCATTCCTCATCCAACGAAGCACTCCAACCAACTGCATTGAGTTATTTACGTGGTGCTGAGGCTTAGGTACTGTTTGAGGCAATTCGCATTTTAAGTATTCTTTCAAGCAGCTTCGAAAAGAGTTTACTTGCAGTTGCAGGTGAAACTGATAAACAAATGTAATTACTCTACTGACTCAAAGCTCACAGGGCAAAAAATGTTAGTCAAATCGGGTGCATATTTTGTTCAGATCGATGCATTAATTTAAATACGTACGTGCAATAGTACATCTAGTTACAGGATAGAAATGAACTTTTGAACAAGGGAATCTAACGGACTCCCTGCTCTCAAAAAGAGGGAGTCCACAGCAAAATGAGGAGTCCGCAGTCTACAGTTCAAAATTAAAAGATTAACAATAACGCATGCATGTGCTTATTTTGAAGATTCAGCAGTTTGCAGTCTGGCAATTTTTTTGACATTTGCTGAAAAAAATACGGTAATTCTGCGAGGCCGTGCTCTGGAACGAACTAGTTAGTATATATATATATATATATATATAATAGCAGAATTTTCAGGGAGTCACATGGACTCCTGCATATGTCAAATCAGGGAGTCCGACAGTAAATCAGGGAGTATTTGACTCCGGACTCCCGTTAATTTCTCACCCTGTAGTTATAGACAGACTTACTACATCGGATGATCAGACACATGTATGTATATATGTATGTATGTATGTAGATACATGTATGTATGTAGATACATGTATGTATGTATATAATTTTTTGTGTGCTGAAAAGACTGGCTTCAGTAAAATTCGTAGCTTATTCATTGACATAAAATGGAACAGGAATGTTTGACTAGATAAGGAGAACCAGCTCATGATATTATAATCATACTTAACAAAAACTGATAACCCAGATCAGACAACACAAAATATACGAATAAAAACATGTATTTATTCACTCCTGGAGTGATATACACATTATTATATAATGTGTATATATATATATCTATATGTGATGTATATAATGTTAAGTTATCATACAACTATAATATATATATATAACAATTACATATAACTATGTGTTACATACAATCACGTTGAGCGAACGTACTTTTTCACGTTGTTCTCACGGCGTCACGGCACCGAACTCCCCTCGTCACGTTCCGCTCTGTGCAATAGTGGAAATTAGACAATAGAGGGGGAATAGCAATAGCTTGTGGTCAGGTCTTGTTTACGCGCTGGGCACTGACCGGAACCAGTGCTATCACGCGACAGCCAGTTAGCGAGCGGGGTGAGCCCGATTGGCCGGGAGAAGACAATGGGCCGCACAGATGTATAAAACCTCGCGCACGGGAAAAAGCGGGGCTCTCGCTCGCACTCGCAAACTTATAGGCGTCGCATCCGGTAGTCACCTCAGCGTTCGTTAGATATCATCTCGACTGATTGAATCATAAGTTACGTTCCATGTACCGCGCACCCCTGTGTACGCGTCACGCCCCTTGTGGGATTATATATTAGTTAAGCAATGTTTCATTAAACGTTTTCTCTGCTTTAATACGTACATACCAGTATTATGTTGTTTATGTGTTTACATGACAGACGTTGTAGCTACGGTGTACCTCACCGACGCGTACCACTATTACGATTCACGATAGATTAATCAGGTGTTGCATCTGTGTCATGTGCAGGTGGTGTTCGCCGTCAGCGTGCGGCCGTTCGAGAAGGTCGACGTGCGGCATCTGGCGCAGGACCGCAAGTACGGTGTCTACTTCTCGGATGACGGCGTCGCGCAGGCCTTCCGCGACCTGCTCAGCCACCGCTGCCACGTTTGCGATGACCGCCGGCCTGAGCGCTCGTTCGCGGCGCTGCGAGACCACATGCGCCGCGAACACGATCTCTTCTACTGTGATATCTGCGTCGAACATCTCAAGGTGAGTGCGAGGTCACACAAGGTCGCGTGTGATCACACAAGGTCGCATGAGGTCACGCAAGGACTCTGCGTAACCCTACCGCGGGCAGCAATGGTGCTGTAGTGATCTTGAGTGGATTGATCATACATGCTAGTTTGATTTGATACCTTTTGTCATGAGCTGCGATCGTGGGGCAAATTTGGTCGAATCGTGTGGTTCATTATATGGGACTTTTTGCTACCAAATACATTGATTAACTAGGGTAATAATTACTATTTAATCTCCATGGTGCTTGTTTCGCCACCACTCAGGTGTAATTTTCAAACTATTTGTATATCCGTCAATAACAGTGTCTGACATGTCTTTAAAAGTTGGAAGGGAAAGTCGAAAACATGCTATTTTCTAAAGTAAATGGTAAACGATTTCCGAAAAAACATTTGAAAAAATGTGACAGCATGAGAATTCGTCAAGTCGGTAAAAAGATTTAACCACTGTCTGAGCCATTGCGAGGCGGGCAGGACCGCCTCTCTACTATACACATTTGGTGTCCTTCTGCTTACATGAACAGGTAACATATAAGCTATTAGGCTATATATGCATAAAGGTTTATAATCTTGACTTTATTTATTCAGTAAAACTAATGCTGGTGCAGCTAGCCATTTCCGAAAAAACATTTGAAAAAATGTGACAGCATGAGAATATGCAAGTCGGTAAAAAGATTTAACCACTGTCTGAACCATTGCGAGGCAGGCAGGACCGCCTCTCTACTATACACATTTGGTGTCCTTTTGCTTACATGAACAGGTCACATATAGGCTATATATATGCATAAAGGTTTATAATCTTGACTTTATTGTATCCCCCGAACGAAGTTCGTGGGGATACTATGGGTTTGGCATCGTCGCGCCGCCGCCGCCGCCGTAGAGATTTCCTTGTGAACGCTCTACCGGCTGCAGTTCTTCTCGGATCATCTTCAAATTTCGAATGAAGGTGCGTTATCGTAAAGCGAAGACACCTATTGTTTTTGGTGTGGGCGGAGTCATCGTTGCCATCGTAACATTTTTTGTCGAAATATTCTAGAACCTGTAACTTCTGCACTTTTTACCTGATTGTAATGAAATTTATATTTGAATTAAAATTTATATTAAAATTTATATTAATATTAAAATTTAAAAATTTAAAAATGAAATTTAAATTTAAAAATAAAAATTTAAATTTAATATTTGTATTTAAATTTATATTTAAATTTATGATTGTCATCAGGACATGTTATATCGGTCCTGTGTGCCAAATTCCATGACAATCAGGTAAAAACAGCACAAGTTACAGGTTCTACAATATTTCCACAAAAATTTTGTTACCATGGCAACGATGACTCCGCCCACACCAAAAATGTTTGGCGTCTTCACTTTACCATAACGCACCTTCATGCCAAATTTTAAAGATGATCCGGAGACGGGTAAAAACTGCAAAACGTTAAAGTACGAAAATGAAAATTAAATGATAATTATGCCACCTTTTCATGACAAATGCATATTTTCTGATGCCAAAAGCCATTGCAATATAGATAAGTAGTTCCAACCATATTTTCTGCTTCTCAGGTAATGGAGGCATATATTTGCTAGGGTATATATATATATACCATATTACCATCGCAGATGGGTTTGACCCCTTGCCTGCCGCCGCCGGGTCGGCCGTGGCGCGGCGGCGCAGACGATTCTGCTAAACGCTCACCGGCCTGCCAGTTTATGCGACCATGGGTGGCATAACGGTCCGGTCGATTATGCGGCAATGGTGGAATCGGAAATACGCGGAAAATATCGACGATAGCATCGGAGGGAAGAGAATCCCGATTTCGCTCGATCTTGTTACAGCCGATCGCTGCCGCAGGTACGGCCTGCCGCA